AGGAAAATTTGAGTCATTCCAAAGAAATCTGAATGACAGCCTGAAAAACAGTATACTCAACACTTTTTAATTTATAAATAATCTGTGTGTTCTTTTGGGGAAAAATAAAGGTCTGAACAGCTTGCTTGTTTTACGCCTTGCAGTTTTCGGATTCTGGGGTGCTTGTGAAAACTTGGGCTGTGTGGGGGAAAGGATGTGGGTGCTTCTTGACTGTGGGATAAGAATTAGTTCTACTGTAATTAACAGCAGTGAAAACCTGTTTCAGAAGAATGGGAATATTTGACACCTTCGAGAATTTAAAAAATAACCACTGGAGAGGGCTCGGAGTTACTTTCACTATTGTTTTGAAAGTGCCCCAGTTTTCATAATTATGAGTTAGGCAGTCAGGGTTTCCCTCCTTACTTTTCTAGGCAAATCATTTTAGGGAACTAAATGTAACAGAAGTGTTCCTGGACTTGTAACTATGAGAAAACTTCTTTGTTTAAAAAACAAAAACAAGACACTGCTATGCTGACTTTGTTTCATTCGAGTTTTGGTAGAGACGTTGGGTCAGTCTGAGGATGAGGCGGGTTGGCTGCGGCAGACGGGTCGTCTCTGCGTCTCTAACCTCTGACCCCTGCTTTGCTTTTCCCACCTCTGCAGTGTGATGGGAGATCGTGAACATGGACTTTTCTCGGCTCCACATGTATACGCCTCCTCAGTGTGTGCCTGAGAACACTGGCTACACGTATGCACTCAGGTGAGCGTGCGTGCGTGTGTTGGCGCTGTGTCCCCGTCACCTCCCAGATGCCACGGAGTTAAGGGGAGCCCTGGAACTTGCCACCAGATGTGACATTTTGAAAGAAAATACCTGTCAACTTGACATCATGCAGTGGCTTTACGCAGCTACTGAACTGGCATGGCAGCTGTGAGGTTGTTTGGACGCGGCCGTTTCTGATGACTCATGATGACTCAGTGCATGGGTTACTGCTCCAGACCCACCCAAACGGCTGTGGTCTCGGAGCCCGTGTCTGTCCCTCTGTCCCATGCTCGGGCTTTGTGGCTCCTGGCGCTGGCTGGTGTTGCAGAGGCCAAAGAAGCGTCCTGGACAGGTGGCCTTTGAGAGGAGGCCACGAGCGCTTCAGGGGCAGGACCTGGTCGGCGCTCATGTCTCTGTTTCAGCTCACGTGCTGCCCAAGCTCAAAGTTGGAGCCTGAAAGCTGCTGACTTGCCCATTACAGCTCTAGTTATCGAACAGAAAGGATGATTGAAATGAAACTGAGTATCATCAAATTGTGGGTTAGTGCCGAAGGAAGGTCCATACTGGACTGTTTAGGATTCGATTGGCAGTTAGGAAACGTTTGCATCGGGCAAAGTGTTTAAGGCACACAGGAAAATGCTTGTGTAGTTGTGCAATGGCTTATCTTCTAGAGGGTGAAAATGCAATTGAACTGTTAAGCAAATTAGAAGGTATTTTAAGGAAAATACTTTTTAATGGCATCAGTCACATCTCGCACTTAATAATTTTTCATTCACCTTCTAGATCACGTCACACTTTCCGTAATAACACACTCTGTTTTCGTTAAAAGTCTAGTATTTTAGCACAAAATACTCAAGCCAATTCAAGTCAAGCTGTTCCCTCTTCTGCATTGTGGAGCATCAAAATAATGTTTTTTGGTAACTTATTTTTAGCTTTTATAACCTTTTTTAAAATGCACATGTCTAGGTCTCTGTGCCTTGGGACAGCAACACTGTCAATTTCAGTGACTCTAAGCCGTGTGGGTAGGTGAGGAAGTACAAGAAGTGAGGTGGGAAGGGCAGGCAGGTGTGGTTCCACAGGCTGTGCGAGCAGCTTGCACTTTACTGAGGGCGGGGGGACAGTGAAGGGTTTTAAGCAGCGAGTGACGTGACCAGGTCTGTGCTCAGAAGGGAGCTACAGTGTGGGAGTGGGTGTGAGAGTGAGGGGGCTGTTGGAGAGGTCGTCCTCACTCTGCTGTCCTTCAGACCCCTCCCCGCTTCCTGCTGCCGCCCACTTTGACTCTGGTCTGGTCGCCCCTCATGTCTGATGACCACCCTGGTTGATGGCTGTGTGTCCAGCCTGCTTGGCCCTCACTCTTAGCAGAGGCTCCTCCAGCATCCTGGTCATTCCGTGTGCAGCACTGCAGTGTCCCCTACTGTGGAAAATGTCACACAGTGTGAACATCTGGCAGGTGGCCCTAGGCCCTTGCTCTCACGTGGCTCAGCTGTTGGCAGTGCTTGGCTCCCCTGCGCCCCTCCCAGTAGGTTGTTTTGAAGCAAATTTCTAAAAGGTGACATTTAAAAAGCTATCCAAAATACCAGTATTGCAACAAAAGCCCCTAGTAATTTAAAATAAATCCTAACAAGGGCCGGCCGAGTGGCTCAGTTGGTTAAGAGCTCACTCAAGGGCCGGCCGAGTGGCGCGATGGTTAAGTGCTGGCTTGGGACGCCAGAGGGCCACGGTTCAGATCCCACATATGAGGGCCAGTGACACTGCCCTCTACAGCTAAGATGCTGAACAACAGCTCAACCTGGAGCTGGGCTGCCGTGAGTCGCCGGTGATGGCGTAGGCTGCAGCCCCTGTGGCAGTGGGTTGCCATGGGCTACTGTATGTAGCCAGCAGCCAGCTTGAGCAGCCAGCAGCCGCAATGAGCGGCCATCCAGGCCGGCGACTGATCTGTCTCACCCGGGAAGAGTGCAATGATGGTGCCAACTTGGGCCAGTGAAGCAACGCCCTCCACAACTAGACTGAAGAACAAAACGACAGCAACTTGTCTGTTCCCCTTCCCCCAATTCCCCAGCACTGTTCCCATCCCCCAATTCCCCAATAAAAATCTTTAAAAAAAAAGAGCTCGCTCAAGAGTTTGAGCTCTGAGCAATAGCAGTTCGAGTCCCAGCCCGAGCTGAGCAGCCACTAAGCTGCCAACAGGTGGCAGGATGGCTCAGCTAAAAAAATAAAATAAAATTTAAAATAAGTCCTAACAACTCTATATATCAAAAACTAAGGGATCTTCATCTTTTTTTTTTTTTAACAACCATTTAAAAACAAGGAACCTAAGGGCCGGCTGAGTGGCTCAGTTGGTTAAGAGCTCGCTCAAGAGTTTGAGCTCTGAGCAACAGTGGTTCGAGTCAGCCCGAGCTGAGCAGCCGTGAGCTGCCAACAGGTGGCGGGATGGCTCAGCTAAAAAAAAAAAAAAAAAAAAAAAAAAAAAAAAAAAAAACAAGGAACCTAAATAGATTGTCACATTCTGTTTGGCTGATTTGTGTGTTAATCTGTGTCCCCTGCAGACTGGTGGTTAGATGTGGGCATTTGATTGTTCCCAGGGGTTGGTCTGTTGGCATGACTACGCAGTAGGTGGCACTTCCCGTTACGTTCTCTTAGTGTATGCTTGTGTCTCTAGGTGCTGAGGCTGGTCAGTGTTATAAGCCGGAGCCGCTTGTTAGGAAGTCCCAGCAGCCACGGGTGGTGCTGCCCTGGTCAGGAGCACGTCTCCAGAGCCCCGCCATGTTGCACGCTCATGCTGGGTGCACGTGAGGCTGGACAACTAGATTTCTGACCCTCAGCATCTGGGGGAAGTTGATTTTCAGCCAGAAAGAAAGGTGGGAATGGCTGTGGGTATGTACAAGGCGAGAGTGTTTTGAGAAGGAGGGAGGTGCCATCAGCCAGTCAGATGCTGCTGGGCACCAGCATGGCCAGCGGGCTTGCCCGGGCCGGGGCGGGGGGGGTTGTTACTCGACAGAAGGGGCCAAGTGCAGTGATTGGAGCAGGAGCTGGAATGCATTTCAGTGGGGAGAAGAGTGCGTGTAGACACGGCACCTCCTTCAACAAGTTTGGCTGATAATGGAAGGAGGAAGGGCATGGCTTTGTTCGTTTTCTTTATGTTGTTACCGGGGGAGAGATGAGAGTGTGTCTGGATGCTGATGGTGAGGAGCCAACAGACAGAGGTTGAAGACGAGTGAGAAGAGAGAACTGACAGTAAGATCTAGAAAGTGGGAGGGAGACTCAGTGCGGGGCCCACAGCATGGGCTTTGGGATTCCTGCCCGCTGTCACGTGGCAGCGTGACCGTGGGTCCTTCCACAGAGCCACCTGAGAGGCAGCGCGGGTGGCGTGTGGTTTTCTGGGGGAGAAGGAAGCAGGCCCTTCTAGAGAGAGCCAGAGGTCTAGGGAGGGGAGGCGCGAAAGTCTGATGGCCACGGGTGCCGGGAACAGGCGACCACCACCCAGATGGCCAGACGGGCGAGGACCTGTGGGGCATGGGGACGGAGAGTGTGTCCACCTCCTGGTGTGACTTCCTCAGAGCTGGCACCAGTCAGGAATCACAGAGAGAGTGATTGGCTTCATCCGGGTGGGATGGTGCCAGGCCACTGACAGATGGGATTGCAGCCGGGGGCTGGGACCACCCTGGGATCGGGGTCCTACAGGTTGAGGGATGTTGCAAACGGTTCAGAGTGATGGGTGACGAGCAGTCCAAGTGTAGGACCTCAAAGTGCAGTGTGGGGAGGCATTCAGAGAAGCGACACGGAGCATCAGCGTGTGTCAGATCCTGGGGACTATTGCTGTGTGGGATTCGCTTTGCCTGAGTGCCCCTCCCAGTCACTGAGGTCACCGCACTGCTGACCTGCGGGGTCTGCACTGTGTGCTCTGCTGGTACCATGCCCGCTGCCACAGCTGGTGTCCGTGTTTGTCTCTGGCTCTCAGTTGTGGTAGATTTTTTCAGCCTTTAATCTAAAAGACAGATTTCAAAGAGGGGGCACGGTGGTCCCAGTGTCTGATGACATCACACTCTCAGGATTAGACCGAGACTGTATCTTTGGGGTCTTCGTCTAGAGCATCCTTCTTTATATCCTGCTTCTGTCCCTTAATTCCATCTCGTCCTGGATAGACCCCTCCCCCTGCAGTTCAGTGCCACCTCCCCGAGCTCTGTAGTAAACCAGTGACGCCCATTAATGCCGCACTTGACATATTCCTGCTGGCTGGGCAGGCGCCTGGGACGCCTGTCTCCCACGGCATTTGGGCCTCTCTGCTGTGTCTCTGGGCACATCTGTCTGTAGGACACGGTGCTTGGGACCCTGGGGCACCATGTGCCTCGAGCGCTGCACTGATGCAGACCTTTGCAGTCACCTGATGCCTCAGGTGAGCGGCTGAGGGCGACCCCTGGTGGTAGATCCCGGAATTGCTCCCCCACCCTCCCTGCTGGGAACAGCCCTGGGCTGTTTGGGTCTGGAGCTCACACTGCAAGCTCAGAGTGAAAGGACTGCGCCCTGCCTCCTTTCAGCTGCTCAGGCAGCTGTGTCACCTGTTTGGAGAGAACCTCCCAGGCCTTTCCTGTGCCTTCGCTTACCTGTGTGTGTGTCAGAAATGTGTTGCTGCTTTCTCGTTTGTTTCAACATAAATAGGATGACACTCGGGTGTTTTGTCTTTTCATTGACCAGCATAACGTGGAAGTACATAGATTCAGATCTTCCCTGTATCTTACTCCGGGTGTGTCCTGCGTTCTCCCTGTGTGTAGGTGGCAGCTGTTAGAAGGGAGCTGCAGCTAATGCTCTCTTGAGGGCTCCTCCTGTGCCTCTCCAGCCTGACCACGGCCTTCCCATGGTGAAGTTAGTCCAGGTTCTGGGTTGAAAGCTGGGACCTGTTTAGACTGTAGCAGTCTCGCAGTGTCCCCACACTGACCTCCAGGGCCTGGTGGGGTGGGGACAGAGTCAGAAGAACCTTCGAAGGTGTGTGTGATGTGTCATGTGTGTGAGATGACACAAAGCCATTTGTACTGACTTACTCTTGGTCAGATCTGATAATGATGAACTTGGTTGTGAAATATTTTTATGGTACGAAAAACATAATGCAGAAATGTCCTTCAGACCATTTGCTTCACTCAAATTTCCAGATCCTTCGCCAGGTCTGCTTTCCTGGGCGGGAGCTGTTTTCCCGCTGCCTGCTGAGCTGCGTCCCACGCATGCCGCCTCCCTGTGTGGTGTTTGGAAGTGCAGGTCACTCGCTCAGGGCGTGCGCTGCTGCAGGGTCCATGTGGAGCCCCTCCCAGCCCCTGCCCACCCCCTGCCCTGGGTTCTGCAGCTGCCTCCTTGCCTGCAGTTTTCCCTGCCGGCTCAGGAAGCCCTCAGCTGACTCCTGTCCCCGCCTCCTCTGCGCACTGTGCCCCTCCTTGCTGGATGGTGGGTCACCTCTCCTGCAGATGTGGACACCTCCCTGCTAGGTGACCGTGTAGTGTGTGTTCTGAGGGCAAGGGGTGCTGTCAGTGTGCTTGGGCCCCGCCGCCGGCCGGCTGGGTTGGGACGCATGACCCCACGTCCTGGACACGCACAGTAGGTGCGCAGGGAACGTTTCTTGATTTGGAGACACTAACAGCACAAAAGGACACACACAGCTTTGAGATAAGTGCATGGAAGGGTATTGGAGCGACTTGCTTGTCACCAGCTTGTCCTGCCTCGTGGCGAGTTAGATGCAGAGTGGTGGTGACGGCCGCGTGCCCTACTCCCCTTCTGCTCACTCTGGTTCATTCGGTGACGACTGGCGGCCTCGGGAACTGCTTTGCAGGCTGTGTCTGTAGAGGCTCCTGGGGTTGCCCGTGGGGGGTTCTTGTGGATTTAGTCTGTCTTAATGCAAATTAGGGGCAGCTCTGCTTCAACCCTAGGTCCCGGGAGGCATCCTCTCACTCCTTGGTCAGCATCAGCTGTCCACTCACCGGTGCCAGCTGATTGTGCTCTATAGAAGGGTCGCCACACAGCAGCGGCTTTTTTTAGAATTCTCTGTGGGCTCCATGTCTAGTCATTGTTTGCTCAGTTTGTTTCAGAAGTGGAGCTGGAAGCCCTGTTTATCTCAACACGTTCTTTCCCTTCTAGTTCAAGTTACTCTTCTGATGCTTTGGATTTCGAGACTGAGCACAAACTGGACCCCGTGTTTGATTCTCCGAGAATGTCCCGCCGTGGTTTGCACCCGGTCAGCACAGCATCCGCCACTGCGGGTGGCCAGGCTGGGGCCGCTAAGTCCTGCACCAGCAGCACTGTCACCCTGAGAGAGAGAGTGACCAGGTAAGCACTGCTTGTCTGTGTTACATTGTAGTGCCTGCTCAGACCGCATGTGTGCGCTGTGGGCCTGCAGCCACACCCTTGAGCTGAAGGCCATGCTCGCCGTGGGCACAGACCCCATGTGGCCTCTGGCTTTGCTGTGAGCAGGACACACAGTTCTGGAATGCCTCGGTCATTGCATTGTCTTCTGCCAGTTACCTTTCCCAGGTCTCAAAGCCTGGGAGGGGGGCGTGGCACCTGCCACGAGCATGCGAGAGACTTTAGGCAGTGCCAGCCGTGCTGTCCATCCCTGTCGCTGGAGCCGATCTCAGCTGTGCCTCCTGGTGGCTTGGGGTCATTGTAGCCAGTCACTGCATCGTTGCGGCCTGTGAAGCCCGTGAACGGACAGACATGCCCGTGGAGCGCACATCACCCACACTCACCATTGTCACAGTCACTCGGTTTCTGAACTCTCCATATGCCCAAGAAGGAGCAAAAGTAGGCAAGGTCTCTGTGCCATCAGAGATGAAGAATAAAAGTGACAGCTTCACTTGGGGTCGCTCACAAATGATGAGTTTCTGACCTGAATGGCTCCTCATCTCGGGAACGGGGTAGTGGCTGCTAAGGGAGGTGTGGAGGCTGCAGGGGTGACATGGGCACTGGCACAGCCCCGTCCTGGCGTCCCCATGAGTTGCAGTCACCGCGGAGCTTGTGCAGAGCGTGAGGTTCCCGGGCGTCCACCTTGAGAGTGGACATCTGGTTCACGAAGGCGCTCCTGGCACTGCATTGGCTCCAGGAAGTCGTCCTCGGAAGGACCACCCAGCCACTAAGGCTGCCTTCTGGCACCAGACGGTGCCGTGACCAGGTGTCCTGATGGTGTCTTGTTATTGCTGCCTGCCTTTCACCCCCTGTTGGGCCCTCGCCCTCCGAGGGCCTGCTGGGTGCCACCTGTCCCACCACCTGATCAGGCCCTGAAGTTTGTCCTCAAGGCCTCTGTCAGCGGGAATGTAGAGTGTGTCTGAGGTCACAGCCTCCCTGCTGAATGCACTTCTGTCCTTCCTGGTGCAGAAAGAGCGCGGGCTGTCGCCCTGTGTGCGGTTCCTTGCTTTAAAGGGAAGGGGTCAAATGAGAACTTTTTATTTTTAGGCTGTTTTATATGTGGGTTATTTTAGTTTTTAACCACTTGGGTCTTAGGGCCCCGACTGATCTGAAATGGATTTTGTTTGCACGGCTTTAGGAGGAGTCTTTGGGCCCCAGCTTAAGGTTTCTACTTACAGATGAACAAATGCTTCATTAGAGTACAAAAACAGAAGAAAATGCCGCCTTAAAGCTACTGTATTTATTCTCCAAGATTTCTTGTTGGTAAAATGTAGTCGTTTTGTGTTGAGTAGGAAAACTATAAACACGTTCCCTTATTCCTTTCTTTTTAGAACAGCGAGGCAGCGCGGCAGTGCAGGCAGGCCGGCTCTGAGGGCCCCCCAGGCCTCACGGAGGGTCGCGACTGCTCTGCGGCCCCCTGTGCTGGACGAGTCTCTGATCCGCGAGCAGACCCGAGTGGACCACTTCTGGGGTGAGTTACCTACTGCTGGTTGTCTCTCCAGTGGTTCTGGGAGAAGGGAGGCCATGGCCGGGGTGTCCCTTTGCCCATTCCTGGGGGGGAGGCACCTCTCGGCTCAGCTGCTCTGTGGGTTGTGCAGTCATTCGCTGTGACGCGGCAGGGGTGTGTCACTGGTGTTACCTTGGTAAGATGTCTGAGCGAAGGCACCGTAAAAGTCACCAGTGTGATTTCACGTCCCTGCCAGCACCAGACACAGGCGCGGTAGACAGACAGGCTGACAGTGCAGGGCACCTGTGAGCTGACTCAACTGAGAGAGCGGAACAGTGGTGCCAGCACTGTGGGGGTGACACTTCAGGAGCCTCAGCTTTGGCGGGGACACGGAGCTGCGGCCACGTCCGCCTGATGTTCTGGCCACCCTTTTGAGAAGACCAGAAGACCCGGATTTGTTCCAGAAGCTTCTCATGCTGATTTTGGGAAGCTTCATGTTGGCTGTTGGCTCAGCCAGTGGGGGCAGTGCTCAGACAGCGGAGGGCGCGTGTGTTCAGGACGTGGTTCTGAGAGGGGGCGGTTCTCCCTGTGGTGCCCCGCCCTGTAGGGCAGACTGTGTGCCGTGTGCAGGTCCTTGGCGCCATGTGGAAAGCGTCCGCATGGACCTGGACAAGTTTCCACTAGTAGCAGTGCCGTAAAGCCGTGTATTAACCGTTGTAACCTTTACTTGTTTGTGTGGGTTTGTTCTACTATGGTAATTTGCGGTCAATAGCAGAAATGTGTGTGTGTGTTTTAGGTCTGGACGACGATGGAGACCTTAAAGGTAATTATTGAGTCCTTCCTCTTCTCCACACTTTTCAAGATGGAAACTTTAGTTAGGGTCTGCAGATCATGATAAACAGGCTCCATCTGCTTTTGGAACCTTCAGGTGGAAGCAAAGCTGTCATTCAGGGAAACGGTGACGTGGCAGCAGAGGCCGCCAAGAGCAACGGCTATACCTGCAGCCGCTGCAGCCTGCTGTCGGAGCGCAAGGACGCGCTGACTGCCGTCCCCGCCGCCTGCGGGGCCGTGTCGAGGGTTTACTCGAGGGACAGGAATCAGAAACGTAAGTGTCGCCCTTCCTTTAAAGGCAAGGGGAAGATTCCATGGCCATGGTCCCGTTTCTTTTTATACCTGGTTTTATGGTCTCCTGAGTCTACTCGAGGCAGACCTGAACTCAGAATTATCCTTTAAAAGTTTAAGAAATGCCCCCCAAATTAGCTTTCTTCCTTTTCATCCTCTTTCAACTTGCACTTTATATGGTAGGTATTTTTGTTCCTGGGAGTGTCTGAAGTTCTGTAGATTTGAACTTTGGGTAAACAAAAGAAAATTTCTACTTCAGTGACACCTGTGGGTGGAACTGTGCCGTCCCTTTCAGGAGCATGGACTTTCGCGTGTGCTAAAGGGACAGCTTGTGAGGGTGCTGTCACCTCCCCGTGGAGGTGTCCGTGCAGCGAGTGAGGGAAAACACTTCCTCGGTGTCTGTTCTTAGGGTAGCGTGTCGGAGGGCACGCAGGTGAGGGGCGGCTCGTGGGAATGCGCGGGTCTGGCCGGGGGCACTGGCTCTGTCTGGGATGGCAGCAGTCGTGTCACAGAACGCCCGCACGCACAGGTGGACATTGGGAGTGCTGGTGGCCCTCGCCCGAATGTGGAGGTCCTGGGAGGGATGTTGGCGCAAGCTGCTGGGGCCGCCGCGGCCTGTCCAGGCAAGCCCTGGGGTCTTCCTCCTGCGCCCGGCACTCACAGGGCCCCGGCGAGAGCATTGCTGCAGCTCCCCCGCCAGGCTCTGGGGCGCTTGGGGACTCCACACCAGGCCACGCCTTCCTGCCCCACGGTCCCCACTCTGACACGGCACGCAGAGGCTAGGGAGCCCTTGATCTCAGACACGCATTGCCTTGCTTCTGAGTTGTGGCTCCTCCTGTTTATCTCTGTGCTGGACATCACGCTCGGGCGCGTGCCAGGCTCCGGACTGGCCAGCACTGGAGGGCGGGCTGTGCTTGCTGTTCACGGCATTGTTCCTGGTGCTCAGCGTGTGGGAGTGCCCAGTTAGTATTTTCCGGTGGCTGTTTTGACACAGCGGGGGTGGTACCAGGACTAAGAACTCTTCCATTCTAGCTGCTGGTCACGGTGCTGAAGCTCCTGGGTCTGTGCTGAAGTGTGGTCCACACCGTCAGCATCCGTGTGTACCCAGGAGAGCTGCCAGGGGAGGCTTTCCTTTTTTTTTTTTTTTTTTAAGCTGAGCCATCCTGCCACCTGTTGGCAGCTCAGCGGCTGCTCAGCTCGGGCTGGACTCGAACCGCTGTTGCTCAGAGCTCAAACTCTTGAGCGAGCTCTTAACCAACTGAGCCACTCGGCCGGCCCTGAGGCTTTCCTCTTAACACTGGCATCGCCGTGGACCTGGGTCCCCCCATGTGGACACGCACTCTGCTCGGTGTGTGCCCGTGCCTCCATGGCCCCTCAGCAGCCCTGCCACTGTGGCTGTCTCGTGTGTACACACTGGCAGACTGGGGCTTAGCTAGCTTAGGAAAGTTGCCGGTGAGCGATGGGCCTTGGACCTGGCCCAGGCGTCTGCTGTCGGGTGCACTGCCCTAGCCGCCTCTGTGCCCCGTGTTCCCCATTCAGGACAGCCCGAGTGGGGCCCAGCACCCGCCTAGATCCCTGCAGCCCACAGAGATGCCGCGGGTACTGTCTTTGGGAGCGTGGCGAACGGATAGCACGTTGTTCTCAGAGTCAGAACCCACTCCATAGACTGTGAGCAGCCGTCTCAGACCTGTGCGAAGCTTGCTGCTCCCCCACAGCCTCGTCGTAGGGGTCACGGCTGTTTCCAGCCAGCCCGCAGCCACTCTGTTGGGGTAGGATGGGTGGGCGTGGGTGGGCTAGGCGCTGGGCGTACTTCGGGGAGTAGCCTCTGGAAATGCGTCGCACGTCCCTGGCTTAAATTGGCCTTGAATGTTTTTGAGAAAACAAGTTATATTTTATTTGCTGTGGGCTTCTGTCTCCACCTCCCTTGCTCTTGGGGATTATAACAGTGATTTGTAGAGCCAACTGACTTATTCCTCTTAGAAAATCTGTCCTGACTATTAAAGTAGAGTGTTTATGAAAGAACATTAGAAAATCACAGAGATGCACAAGGAAGAAAGTTAAAATCGCCCACAACCTAGCCCCAGAGTCCGGCCTTCCGGCTGTGTCCCTGGGACACAGGGAGGTCACACTGCATGAACTGCTGCGTGTGCCGTACTTGCTTGAAACACAAATGACCCTTCTCAAGCATAGATGGCCCCCTTCTTCGTTTGTTTTTACTCACGCTCTCCTGTAACATCTCTAACTGGCACAGGTAGAGGGAGTCCCTGCCCGCACCTGGTTCCCCCTCCAGAGGGAACTGCTGCCCATGGGCAGAGTTCACCGTGAGCTCACGGAACGTAAAACCACTCACTTTCGAGTGTACAGTTCGTGGCACCTGGTGCATTCACAGTGTTGTGTGGACACCACCTGAACTTGGCATTTGTACACTTGGTTTCCGTCGTCACTGAAATGCTGTCAGAACACACACATGCTTTGGCAGCTGCTTTCCGTGTGTCGTTCTTGATGCTTATCTGCTGTTGCATTTGTGGTTCTATCAAAGTGTTTTCAACCAGGGTCTAGATGACATTCCAGTTTTCCTGCTTGTACACTTCAGACACAGCGTTTCTTTGGCTGTGTGTCCTTGTCCGTATCTGTCTGTGTACTAGGCAAACCTTTCTCTCAGGTAGACAGACTGGAGGTGGAACAGGTGGGTTCAAGTGACGTGTCCCGCTGGGACCGGCTGCTTTCTGAGTCCTGACCCTTTTGAGGTTCAAGTTGACAAAATGTGATTTTCTGGTTCACATCAAAAAGGCTTTAAAAGGCTTCTAAGTCTTTTCCTTGGGACATCAGACGGGCCTAGCAGAGCAGGGTGGGGCTGAGACCTGCCTCGTGGTCAGAGCGACCTCTCCCGTGACCGTCAGGCTCTCCTTCAGAAGCAGGCGCCCTCGCCCGCACCGTCCCCAGGACGACTGTCCCCAGTACGGCCTGTGTGTGACAGTGGCTGGTCAGACTGTGGAAGCAGTCTGCTCTGTGCGCTCTCCTGCCTCAGGCGGCACTTACGCCCCCGTGAAAGGCATAGACCAACTTAGGAAAGGTGGGCCTTTCCTTTGAAAACTGTCGGTTGCCCAGAAGTTCACTTCTCAAAGCAGCCTCTGTTGTTAGAGAAGTGGTACGTGGGTGTGAGCGGGCTTTGGGGCTGGTGTGGCCACGCAGCCAGACCAGGAGGCTTTCTGTTGCTGAGTGACCACCTACGGCCAAGGCCCTGCCGGCTCTGGTGGGGCGTGGGCGCGACGATGTCTGAGCTGAGTGGCTAGAACCTCCACGGGGGAGCAACTCTGACTGAGGCCACTTTCCTGAAGAAGCGACAGCAGCTCAGAGAGAGTCAAAACTTCCAGCCGGCAGCTTCCACCAGTAACTGTCACTGCTGGAAAAAGATTATTTACAATTTCAGTTTAAACAGACTCTTCCAGTTGACTAACCACTGACCCCAACCACTCCCCTCAATGGCACTTTGAGGGTCCCCGTTCTGTGTCCTCTTGCCAATTTTTCATATTTTCTTACTTTTAAAGTTTCATCAATTTGATGAATGGAAGGTGTTTAGGTGTTTTTATTATCAGCAGACTGGCCGTGCGGCACTTCTTGATGCTCTTTTCTCTTTTTACGAAGCTCTGTTTAAAGTTGACAATTCACTGTGGGACAGTCATGACACAGTGGGTGCTGACACCGTGAATGTTTTTAGTGCAGGGGCCAATTCACAAATAGCCTACTCCTTACTCAAGCTGCTGACAACAGAGCTCAAATTTTATTACTTCAAAATCACTCCCATCTCAGACGTCACCATCCCAGCCAGCCTCATGCCACAGACTCTGAACTCACCGCGGCATCACCGGGCTGGGAGAGGAAGCCTCGGGGCTACCTGGGGGCACTCCTGGCGAGCCAGGTGGGCCGTCCACGTCTGTAGGTGGTCCCAGCGGACTTGGCATGTGGGAACAAGCCTGCGTGCTCCGCTCCTCCGTGGAGAAACGTTCCCTCCAGAGCCAAAATGTCTAGCAGCGCGACGTGTAGAGCATCACCACATACATTTCAGGTTAACAGAAAGAGTGTCGGGGATCACGCGGCACATTCTGAAGCTCAGGCCCTGACAAGTAGTAAGGGCAGCGAGGTCTCCTGGCCCAGCAGCCACATAACTGAGCTGCTGCCTGCACAGGCCATGGCGTTTGTTTCTGTTGTCCCCCGCTGCAGATGCTGTGGCACGCCTTGTCCTGGAAGGGGTGGTGGGGGCTCACCTGATAGTCCTCCTCCAGGCAGGTGATACAGGAAGGGGGTGGGGGTGGAGCGGAGCGCAGGTTAGGGCAGTTGTTTGCAGTCCCCACGGATGGCAGCCTATGTATGCACAGCATCGGGATGCAGTGATGTCACCAGGATACTTTCTGGAAGATGGCTAGTGAGCGAGCTTTGGTGTTGACAGCTCTCCCATCAAGTTTGCTTTGCAGCTCCGCCTGTCAGGATGTGACGTGTGTCACTCTAGGCAGAGTGCCATTTGTCATTACGTCTCTTCCAACATCTCTGGTGTCCACTTAGAAAGTTGACTCTCCTTTGCCTGAAATGAATACCTGGGCCTTGTGACTCACAGGGGAGTAAGTGTGGGCTTCGTGGGAAGAAGTAACTGTGTTCCCGGTTTTTCAATAGGCGGCGCGTCCTTCTACCTGGATAGGATTCTGTGGCTGGTCACGTGCACATCGTCATCTTTCTCGTCATTCTTAGTTCAACTTTTTCGAGTGGTTTTAATGAAGCGCAATTATGAATCAGAAAATTACAAATTGAAAAGTTATGAATCAAAAGATCACGAATCAGAAAGCTATAAGTCAAAAAGCCATGAATCAAAAGGTATTTACATAATTTTTTCTCCTTTTCCCACCAAATAATGCTGTCAAGGTGGAGAAAACACACTTTTCCAGCGTGGTGCTTCCTCGCCTCTCCTGTCGCAGTCTTCATGCTGACTTTCTCTGGGTCTTTCTAGAAGGGAGCTTCTGGAGGTTTTGATGCGATCTCTGTGTGGTTCAGTCTCCTGAAAGCTGATCAGTGTTTAAGCATTTATAAGTCACTTTTTAGTAAAAAGTTAGCGTACTCAACTTTGATTCTTACTACCTTTTTTAAGCAAAAGCAGTTTATCTGAACTGCCTGCCGCATGCTGTTCCATACGACTGTAAGCAGGCTGGCCACCTTTGCACTGTCCGCTGGGCGCATTCCCTGGCCAGGGGCACTGGAGCGTCTCTTCCTAAGCAAACCTGTCGCCTGTGCTCACTGCACGTGCGAGCCATCGCCCGAGACGGCTGCCGAGCTGCCCTCTTCGGGGTCTGGGAGCGTGAGCGGGGCTCCCACGAGGGTCCGTCTCTAAGTCCCTTTTGCGTATGTTACAGCCCATTTCGATCCCTGTGGCCGGAGGAATGTAAGAGCGTTTCTCAGAGAGGACGGGCACCTCAGTGTGAATGGGGAGGCACTGTGTAAGTATGGCTTCCCTTCACGGGGCCATTCCCGGCCTGGGTGTTGGCTTCCTGCAGGATGGCCGAGCAGGCCGCTGGCAGTGTAGACAGATCGCCCACCCGAGGCGGGCCCCACCCATTGGACAGGCTGTAGAGCCTGGCAGGAACCTTAGCGCAGAAGCTAACGGCCACCAGCCTGTATTTGCCTTGATTCTTTTTCGTAATAAGGCTCTGATTTTTTTCAAACTGCTGTTGCTGTGCATAGTTCAAAGGGACCAGGTCTGCATATTAATTGTCAACTGCTTGTCACCACGCCCGCAGGCGACGACTGTCAGGGGAAGGAACACCTGGAGACGCCCACAGCCGTCCACCCACTGTCGTCGCGGCTGCAGCGGGCGGCAGGGAGCACCGGGAGCGCCGGTTCTCATGCAGGTTGTCTCGCGCGTCTGCTGCTTGTTCTCATCGTGTTCCTCACGAACTCTTGTTACTTGTTTACATTTGGAATTCCAGTGCTCAGTAAAAGCTGACAGGAGTTGTGTCAGGTGTGGTTAAAAGACGGAGACCGCCTCTGTCGAAAAGGTGCTTTGTAAATATGTTAGTGTAAATTGAAAGTATGAAAAAGCACTTACCTGAGGCGAAGCGAAAGTGAGGAGAGGCTGGTTCCGCTCCTGGGTCGGAGCATCATCTTGACACAAATCTGCCTGTCCCTCTGTCCTGCCCTCGGCCCCGGATGACCACTGCCTCTGTCCTAAACCTGCGGCAAGGTTTCCATGAAAATCAGGTGTTTCCAGTTGATACCTGTACGTTTCCTGGTAAAGGGCACCTTATCTAGGCACCCTTGTATTAAAGCTGAGCTTCAAAAATAATTGTCTCCTCACTGTTAATTAATAAACATAAAACAGTAGATTGTTTAGAAAATCCTCTTTAAACATATTTCTTTGCACAAGAGCCATGTTGGAATTACCTAATAGTTTCAGGAGTAAATACCTATTAGTTACATGCTAATATGAGTATATAACTTTTAGCAATTACTCTTAAAAAATGAAACAATTGATTTCATAAGCAGCTTTCTGTTTTGTATAATGTGTGCTGTTTGATAAAAAGTTTATTGTGTTTTATTTTTTGTCCCATGGTTCTACCACTTATTCCAAATTGTTTTTTTACTGGAAAACGTTGGCCTGTAGGTTGGTTTTCATTTAGGTGCCTGAGTTACCCTTGTTTCACCTAGAGCGTGTTAACGGCTGGTGTCGGTGGGATTTTATTTTCTCTAAAGTATCTCATTACCTGCTGGCACCAAGCGAGCCTGAGCCTGCGGCGCGCATGCCCGCCACCACGCCCTGGGCCTTATGGGGACATCTGCACTTTACATTTTAAGTGTCTACAGGCAGAAGGAAGTGGAAAGTAATTCAGACATAAGGGCAGGGTTTTCACAAGTTAATTTCAGTGTCTTGCTTGGACTTAATGTAGTTTTGTTTTTTTCTTGAGAAGAGACTCTTGTGTACTGATTGATACTAGAGAATTTGAGTAACATGGTGCTGGTAGGAGTTCCTTGTATTGTAGCTGGGAGAGCTGGTTTTGATGTTTGTGTCTGAGTGTGCCCCTCTGCACTCGTCTTGTCTGTCGCAGGTCACTTCCTGATGCAAACGCTGCGCAGGATTGGAGCCGTAGGATGGTGTGTGTCGGAGAAGCTGTTGTCGGCTCTTTGCTTGGCCATGGTGGCTCCAGGTGCTTATTTTGGCTTTCCGTCTTCACGTTCTCCCCAAGGCCCTGGCTGTTGACACATACGAGAATTTCCCTAACCAGAGACTCCACCTTGGGTTTGCATGCTTTGCTCCTTGACGTAACCGTTTCCCTCCTTCATGTCTTAGCAATTAGCATCGCTTTGGCTGCGTGAGCAGAAGTTCTGTTTCTCTGGGGTCTGGGTTCTGTCAGCCCAGTGACTAAGAGAAGAGCATAGGTCTGCCGTTTCCCACGTCTTGCATTTGTCCGCGTTACATGTTGCTTTGTTGCCGGTGTGTGTGTCCGTGTTGGAGCATGTGGGAATTCCTGCTGTGCTGGCTTAGCGCCGTCATAACACGCTCCGTCCCTGACGCCATCTCTGTTTACTTTCGGAATATCTGTTAGTAAACATCCCGGCGCTTCGAGCTCAGCCTTCATAAAAGCAGTTCATTTGGGCCTGGTTTCCCTAAGAATGCTTCCTGAGAACGTCTGCTTCTCTCCTAGGGAAGGCGGCCTCTGCGACGTTCTGGCTGCTAGGGAGTGGGTGGTACCAGTTTGTGACTTGGATTTCCTGGCTGAACGTTTTTCTTCTTACAAGGTAAGGAAACATATCATGTCAGCTTGGTGTTTTAAAGAACTCATTTTGTGCTAAGTGCAGAATGTCATGTGATTTAGTGTTTTACAATGATTTAGCTTACATTTACCTCCTTTTTATAGTTTGGTATATTAATGTCTTGTGTTTATATATCATTTTATACTTTACGAAATGCTTTCATATTCTTATTAACACGTTGTGGACCGGTGACACAGATCTGCATGTATAATATTTAAATGCCCCGTCCTCAATATGTTAATTTTTCAAACCACTCGTGCGAGAAAGGAAAGGCAGGCTCCATTTCTAAGGAAAGTAGTAGTGTGCAGAGGGTAGGTGACGGGCTGGAGGCCCCACAGCCAGGCCCTTTGTCCCCCGTGTGGTGCAGTCCTGCTGGCACAGGCGACCCCACTGGGCTGTGACCAAGGTGCTTCGGTGCCCTGTCTGTAGCCGCCAGCATGGCGCACTGCATGGCGCTAGTTAGTGACGTGTTTGACTGTTAACGCGGGTCCGGGAGACACCATTTCACAGGCGGGCTCTCCCAGAGGTATATGCACACATTGCAGGTGAGATTGTAACTGCATTTCTAATACTGTGGACTCCATTTTAAAGTGAGTGTATTTTGCATGATGTTAACCAGAGAGGCAAAATGGAATGGTGTACTTCTCCCAACTTAAACGTGTCTCTTTTTATTCCTAGGTGCCTTCGAAATATTTGCAAGTTTTTAATCTTGCTCATTCTACTATTACTTTTACTAGGTAAGTAAAATTTGCCTTAGTTACTTTATGATCAGTATATGAGGTCTGACCATTAAGTTCGCGAACTCATCCTAGAAAAAGTGTTACAGACCTCATTGCTGAATATCGCTACGGTCACCTTCGAAGTCCTCCCCTTGGGAACTATGCACCGACGCCAGCGCTTAGTCCACCCTTTAAAACAGTTCTGGAACTCTTTTTCTGGAATGGCCATCAGAGCTGTCATATTGCCCTTGATGTCGTAAATGTCATCAAAATGTCTTCCTTTCAATATTTCCTTTATCTTCGGGTGAAGAAAGAAATCATTGGGGACCAGATCAGGTGAGTAGGGGGGGTGTTCCAATACAGTTATTTGTTTACTGGCTAAAAACTCCCTCACAGACAGTGCCGTGTGAGCTGGTGCATTGTCGTGATGCAAGTCAGGTCGTCTTAACTTTTTCACACAGTCTTTTCAGCACTTCCAAATAGCAAACTTGGTGAACTGTCCAGTTGGTACAATTTCATAATGAATAATCCCTGTGATATCAAAAAAGGTTAGCAACATCGTTGCAACAAGCTCGCAAACTTAATCGTCAGACCTCATATACATGTGTATGTGTAGATTAGTGCAGAGTTGAGCATCTCAGGACATTTCCGAAAAGCAGTGCACGTCACGCGGGGCCTCACAGATGCTCTTCTCTCCTTCAAGGTGCAGGCCTTTCGTTATGGGGCCAGGCTGACCTCCTTTCTTTCCTACCTGTGGTAAACTGGACACGTGTGGACATAGCACAGAGGGTCGATGATCGCATGGACACGCTCACCCCTGGGCCCCTGAGCCCGCCTCTGCAGGTAACCAGTGCGGGCTCTCACCGGCCGTTCATGCTGCCATCAACGGGGCTATTCCCTGCGGGTCCTGCTTGAGAGAATGTTTTTAAAAACCAAATACGCTCGTTAAATGCTCTGAGATAGTTCAGATAATGTATAGTTAAAGTAATTCATTATTCAGTTAATTTTGATTTAAAAAGTAACAGTATTCATTACTTTGGAAGATACAGAAAGTCAAAGGGAGACCAGGGAGAGCACCCATATCTGCCCTGTGGGGAGCCCCCCGGCGGCCAGCAGCGCGTGTCCCTGTGTGCGTCCCGCTGGACATCTGCTGGGATGCTGTTTGTGTTCTCACTGAGCCTGACCTTAAAGTTACTTGCTGCCGGGTTTGCATCCTCACCTGCGTTGCTGTTGGAACTTCCTCCTGTTTCAGAGTGGCGACGAGGCTATTCGCTGGCGTGAGATGAGTGAAGTACAAAGGCAGGTGGCGTCTCTGTCTGGACAGTGTTGGAGCCATGACGAGAAGCTTAGAGAACTGGCGGCTTCGCTTCAGAAACTGCAGGCACAGGTGGACCAAATGGACGGCGACCGTGGAGGGATGTCACCCTTGGCTACAGACGTGGGAGGGCCGCACTTAAAGGACGTGAATGCTGACGGACCGGTGGGCTCTCAGGTAACGCTGATGGGTTGCAGAGTTCTTTTCTCCTTCTGGGGACACAGAACAGGACACGCCGTGCACTGGGAAGTAGCTGTAGCCCTCATTGTTAGGAGCGACGTGCATTGGGGGCCGGGGACCACGTTGCCCCGGACACGGCCAGGGCAGAGGTCACATCTGGGGGTGACACCCACGAGTGAGGTGGGGCTGCCGTGGGAGGGGCGGGGTCCATGTTCTGACGTGGGAGTGGGTCGCACCTAATCCATGAAACGTGGCTGGTGCTGTCACAGTGACTTGGTTTGTGTCTCCTGTCACGCCCGTTGGGAAAATTAACATCTGTGAATCAGAGGATCTCAAGTTCAAGAGAAGGTGCCATCCCCCATGGAGCCGTGAGCCTGTATGTGAATGTGTCATTTATTTGGTATTCTGAGGAAAGGCTTGTCCGCCCACTTTCCTCAAAACTGATGTTTATCTCCATGAGTTCCACAGTGATTTTTTTTGGGTATTCTGCACTGAGGTCGGTAGGATCTGTACCACCCCTCACCTCACCAACAGGCCTCTCCTGGGGTCTGCCACAGACCAGGCTGCCAGTGGACCCCGTCCCTGACATACGTGTCCAGTGTCTGCTCCCCGTGGCTCTGCACAAAGCCTGGGCCCGCCGAGCTGAGCATACCCCACCTGGGCCGTGTACTCCGCTGCCACGTGGCCACCCTCCTGTCCTCCACCCCGGACAGTGTCAGCAGTTACCATGGTGACTGCTGTTGCTTGTCTAATTTGCTGTCCTCTCCTATCCGGTAGGGTTTAAAACAAATATTTGAAGAACGAGTGAGTCTTCCTGATTCTGGTTTGACCCGAGTCAGCTCCCTTACTATTTTCATTGTCCTGTGCTGATGGCACGCAGGGCTCTTGAGATTGCAGGGATGTCTGCCCCCTCTGTGCCCTGCTCAAAGGGTGCCTGGCGTCTGCATTCATTCCTCAGTGGTCTGTCAGCCATAAAGTGCAGCTGACTCCTGTAAGGTCCACAGATGCAGTTGTGCTTGTCCTGCTCCTGCTGGCCGTGTGACAGCCGCGTAGCTGGACAGGGCGAAAGGCTAAGTCCGAACCATGCTGTTTCTTTGCAAATGCAGGAGGGTGGGCGCTGGCCCGGCTCCAAGGGAGACGCCCGTTCAAAGATCCTAAATAGGTGACAGGTCACCAAACTCTGTGCCTGCAGGCAGGACGTCTGCTGGTGAGCGCAGAGTCCCGCCAGGAAGCACGCTGATCTTACGGAGCAGTCCTTATCTGAGGCAGCAGCCTGAGAGCTTGTCACTCGCCCAGCACGGACGGCCGCATTGGGCCAGGAAGGCCTGGGAAAGGGGGCGGTGTGCTGGTGCCCTCTGGTGTATTTGCGTACACCAGAAAACACGTTACGGCTCAGAAAAACAGGCTCAGCTCACCTGGTGTTCCTGAGCCCATTTTGAATCAGGTCCTGAGTTAGGCCAGCTTAGTACAGGTTTGCTCTTCTTACACTGCTTCACGCAGCTGTGACCGGGCTAGATGGCCTGGCAGCATCCTGGCTTTCCCCACACGGCCACAGCCACATGCAGGACAGGGTGCCGGGTAATCTGGTGTCATCCCCTGGGCTCCGGGCTTAGTGTTCCTCACGTGGCCGCATTTTACAGCAGAGTGGCCTGGTGCCACATGACGAGCTTCCTGAATCACTGGATGCGCTGGCCGCCTAGAATGTTAGCTGAGTGAGTGGTGACCGACTTGCTTTCCGCAACGCGCATTTTCTGGAAATTACGGACTTCTTAACTTAACGTCCTCGTCAGCTTGAGAAGCTCTTCATGCATCTTAGCATGGGCTTCAGACCTCGGAAGTTAGCGGAAAAGCTGTGGGCGCTGTTCATGGGTGTTCCCCTCTAGGGTGCCATGCCACACTGTCACCAGCCGTCCCTAGTGTGTGGCTATTCTGTGTAGAAACAACTTGGCCTCATTTGCCCGCTTTTGTTGGTTTGTTGCTTAACTTTCTCTACCACTTGTTCACTTGTCATCGACACAACTTCCTGCCAACAGCGTGAACTGCGCATCTCAAACTTGGAAGACGCTCTTGGAAAGCTGATGGAAAAGTATGAGGTATTCTTCTTGACCCTTTAATTGTAGCCCCAACAACTGATCTCCTTGATAAACAAAGTCCGCTGCAGTTACTATTTATACAGTCCTTAGCCTTTAAAGCCTAGCTTAGGGGTTTTGCTGCTATCCTTCATAAAACTGGAGAAAAGGTTTCAGACTGTCCTCTTTTTCCATTGGTGGCTCTAGGGTATGGCTTTAATGTTTCATAAGTGTGTCCCACTCACTGGTCCTCAGGTGTCTTTTTGAGGGGGGAGGTCCAAGCCTAGGCTACGAAAGCCAGCTCTCCTGGACGTCACACAGCCTCCACCCGAGTGATGTCTCTAGAAAAGGAAGGGCCCAAATCTTTTGACAGAAAAAAATAACTTTCTGTTAGGAAAGTCTCTTCTCAGATATTGGTAAAGGCAAGGTTAGGGGACCAGATGTTGGCGCTAATCTGAGCCGTAGAGGTTGTGGAGCGCTCACCCAGCAGGGCACGTCAGGAAGGGGGTCCCTGCCGGTTGACCTTGGCCTCAGACATGGCACAACCCTTTGGGGCCTCAGATAGCTGCTGTCTTACTGACAGTAAGAATCAGGCGAGTTTAGTCTGTCAGTTGATGAGAATCCCATGGCGCTGAGCAGAGGGAGCCCCGAGAAGGAAGTGAGCATGTGCAGGAAGAGTAGGCTTCCGTCCAGGTGTGAACGTCCCACCTGGTGGGGCGCTGTCCGCACCTGTGAGTAAGTCGTGTCTTTATGTGGACGTTGGTCGTTTCCTTCTCCTTGTCCTTTGTCATTTAAATAACACTGCCCAGGGAGGGTGGTCACGGACCCTTGATGGCCTGGGGGCTGGTTACAGGAGCTGCTTGTTTTGGAAACCCACCAAGCTGTTCCCATGTGATCTGTGCTCCTCTCTCGACGTGTGTTGTGTGTCTTTTAAAAGTTTACTTTGAAAAACAAACAGCCCTCACCTGCTGGCCAAAAGGCAGGTCTGGGTTTTGGCTTAGGGAAACGCCCAGGCAAATGCAATAGTTTTATGTACCAACCCGTGGAGTTAATTAAGTGTGTGGTCAGGAAGCCACATGCCTTTGTGTGACAGCTTGTCTTCCTACTTTCCAGGCCGTCCAGAGGGAGCTAGAGCAGACCACGCTCAGGACAGCGAGGTAGGAAGGCAGGCAGGAGGCTGCGGTTTGGCCTCTGGCTGTGGAGCCTGCATCTGCAGTCACGGGCTCTGGAGGGGACACTCCCAGCTGTGTGTCTGCTGGGAGCCCCTGAGGACCCCGGGGGTCTAAGGGGCTTGTGACCGTCACTGCTGTCCACGTGGCACCCCCAGGACAGTGGCGCCCCTTGCTTTGACCTGGAGTGCTTGGAGGGCTGCCTGCCCACAGGGCGCAGATAAGGCCAGCCCTCAAGGGCAGGGCGGGGACTCTGCGCCTGGACCCAGCTGGCCTGTGAGCATCAAAGCTTGGCCCTTGCCATGTGGGCAGGACCCCGGCCTTCTGAGCTGGCATTTGCCCCCATGGTCATAGCCTTCTCCCGCCTCCAGGCCGGGTTCTGGGCCTTTTCTGAGCTGTGTCCTTGGCACTTAAGGATGCGGCCAGCTCCTGCCCTGCCCTGCCCAGTCCCTGAGGGGACTTCTGTCCTGATGCCCTGAAGGCCCCTGTCTTCCCACCCGCTTCCCACACGAGCCCCTACACTTGCTGAACCCGACACTCTCCCACTTTGGTGCCTAGTGATTCCTGGGGCTCGCACCCCACGGGCCCGTCTCCATCCTTTGTGTTTAGACTGTTGGCACTGTGGGTTCATGCCCTCTGTAAGGTTGGGCACCAGTGTCATGCATCACACTTCCCTCCAAGCTTGTCTCCCTGGAGATGAGCTCGCGGTGCTGACAAGAGACTCCAAGTAAGGTGCCCGCCCACAGGTTCTTGTGTGACGTGACTGATGGTGTATCCGCACGGCACCTGCCCATGAGCAGGTGTGACACTGCGCTGTGTGTGTCACACAACTGTGCACAAGTGGGGTCATTGACACTGCCTTGAGCCTACGCCTGTCGTTCAGTTAGCCCTTATGCCAGCGTGGAAAGTGTGTTCACTGTCATAGTGGTTACTGGTAAATACTGAGTCGCCTTCTTGATTGTGAGGAGGTCGTTTTAAAAGACTAAGCTCGTTTTGAGAGGCCTTTCCCCACCACCATCAGTTCGTTTGTGTGGGCTGCACACGGAAGCTGGCGAGGGACATCCTCTGGTTCCGACCGAAAGTGGCAATGAGTCCCCATGGGAATGTGGAGCGGGGGTGACGTCACGGTGTTGGCATGTCTGGGGGCTGCCCTGCGTGTTTACTGACTGTGTCTGTCCCCAGCGGAGCCGAGGACGGGCAGCGCCTCCTGTCTGCGGTGAAGGTGCTGGAGCTGGAGCTGGGCCACCTGAGGTCAGAACTGTCCCAGCACCTGGAAGGCGGCTGTGACAAGGTGGATGCTGCCGTGCGTGACAGAGTGAGTGTCCACTGTGTCTGCGTGTTGTCTCACACAGAAAGGGAAGGAGTACTTGGGGTGACGTCTCACATTTAATAAGCTGTTTAACTTTTACTTCCTTTAGAAAACTTTATTTTACTCTATGTGAAAATATTAAAAGACTTAAGATAAATAAAAATTCACCTCTCCTCAGATTCCTGCAGCCCAGTAACCTAACACCTGACACGGGCGTGTGTCTTCCTACACTATATGTGTGTTTGCAGCCTGTGCTGACACGTGCCGGGGGGCTGTGCGTGGTCACCCCAGCGGGCTCGCGCTGCGCTCTGCAGCTGGGCCTCATGTCAGGGCGTGTCACAGATGGGCACAAGAGGGAATCTAGACCTTTAGAGCTGCATGAAAAGGAAAGCACACGTCTGAATGGCAGAAGCAACCACAAGTCAGTCAGACAGCAGGTGGTTAACCTGTGGTGCATGTGACAGAGCGACGTGTGCGCCAGCTCATTGTGGCAGGAAGGCAGAATGCCCGCGTGAGCAGACGGCTGCGTTCCTCTCACTAGTGACCTGCCGGCTGCTCCAAGCCGCGAGTCTACAGTGTGACGTGCCTCTGCGGGCCGGAGCCTGTTGGGACGGGGAACAGGAGACACATCCTCTTTGGCCCTCGCAGCCTCCTTCCTGGGGCTCCTACAGAAATGAGAGCTGCGTGCAGAGGGACGTGGATAGGGGAGCGCTGGGAAATGGGCAGGAGGGGTTGCTGGGCTCAGGGGTGGGGACTGCGTGTGTGCACGCCGTGTGCTTAACATAACGTGCAGGGATACTTGAGCAGACCCAAGGTCACCGTAAGCTCTGTGTGCGGAGGATGAGGGCGCGCTCCTCTCGGCCACTCGCCCAGGGGCATTTTTGACACGGGCTCTGCTCCTGGGCCGTTCATTTCCGGTCCCGTTCTCTGTGGTCTATCCCAGCGTGTCTGCAGGGTGTAAGGAGTTGAAATGATTCATGCTGTGTTTACTGCTGCTTTTACCAGGTAGACGCCCAGGTCAGAGAAACTGTCCAGCTCCTACTTTCTGACGACCCGCAGGCCGTGTCCCTTGAGTGGCTGTTCGACAAGCTTTCGTCTCGCTTTGTCAGCAAGGACAATCTGCAGGTCCTACTACGCGACCTAGAGCTGCAGATACTGAAGAACATCAGCCACCACGTGTCTGTGACGAAACAGCTGTCAGCTCGGGAGGCAGTGGTGTCTGCTGTGAATGAGGCAGGGGTTTCTGGAATCACAGAGGCGGTAGGTAACCAGTGAGGGTGTTTTAACGTCTGCACCCCGAGGACCCTGGGGATTCGTCATGAACGAGCCAGTTCCGGTGTCAGGTTCTGAGCAGGACCTCGGGACGGGCTGGGACCCTGCACATCGCACAATGTTGAAGCATTGCTCGTGGGCGTGGCCACTTCCTGGGAGTCCCTCGTACTTTGTGAACCTGCATTGGGTGGCCGCAGCCTCCCAGAATTGCATGCAGATCTCACAGTGACACAGTGCCAGTCACGGTGCCTCGTCTATCCTGGCTTTGTCCTTGTTTTCTGGCTCACAGACTGTCGAGCCCGCCCGAGCCCCGGGGAAAGGGCTCTGGTACCCGTCCCCCCACCCCATGGCCCAGTCGAGGATGTAGGACCTAGGTGTATACTTGCTGACCCGTCCCCCATGCTGGTTACCCAGATGTCGTTAATGAGAGCATGTTCTCACTGGCGTGCCTGTCACTAACGTGGAGGCCCTGTGTCTCTCCTCGGGCTCACATGCCCATGCAGCAAGCGCACGTCATCATAAACAACGCCCTGAAGCTGTACTCCCAGGACAAGACTGGCATGGTGGACTTTGCCCTGGAGTCTGGTGGTGAGTGAGGGGCCTGACTGCAGCGGGGTGGCCACCTGGTAGCGGGACGCAGTTGGGGCCCTGCTGCGAGGGACATCGCTTTGGATCGGGGAAGTTGTCGTCACCGCGTGTGTTACAGAAAACCTTGGTGTTCTGGATTTTTAAAACTGAGGAATTACAGGCGAGGGCTGGTGGGCCAACATTATTTCTTGGAGAAAAGGATGTGAAAGGGCCGGGTGACCCCCAGGGTGGCAGTGGTCTAACGCCACAGTGTGGTGGTCAGTTTGCCGTGTCCCAGTGGTTTAGGACGCGTGGCCGCTGACACCGGCCTGGGCTCCACTCACCATCTACGGGGCCTTCACGTGGGGGATGTGAACTGCCATCACATGTAAAACCGGCAAAGTCTCCCAACGTTAGACATGTCACTAAGGCTGTGGACGGTTGTTTTCAGTTATGTTTTGTTCAGGACAACTTTCAGAATAGTAAGTGATTTTAGTTACAGGTTTTGAATTCAGGGATTTCTGAGGAAATCTTTTTCAATTCAGAGAGATCAGTGGTATTTTGACTGTTCAGTTGGGACCAATACTTGTCACTTTTTCTTTGAAGCTGAATTAACCCTTACAGATTTGTGTATCATCAATTCAGAATTCCGGTAGTTCTAATGAGGCTGAACTGAAGGTTTTATTACGAAACAAAGCACTTATCAACTGTGAGCTAAAAAAGTGAGTCAGCATATTTCAGGAGACTTAGAATGACATCAGGATATTTTGAAGAAATAATTCAGTGGTTCAGAAATTCAGGTCTGTGATGAGCCAGATCAAAACCTCATTTGTGTTTAAAACGAGACTCCCCACTCGCCCAGCGACTTTTCGGGTGTCAGATGAGTCCTGCAGGCGGCCCGCTCCTGGGTGCTCCGAGAGCTGTGACAGCCGCCAGAACACAGGCATCTCAGGAGGTTTTATTTTTACTTCGTTTTATTGTTGCTTCCACGCCGAGGCTGTCTTGGTGCCAACCCCCTGTCTGCCCTGTTTCCTGTGAGGGGCAGACTGGACTGTTTTTAAAGCTTTTTATTCTCATTGAGGTAATTCACGTAACGTGAACTTTACCATTTACAGTGTACAGTCCAGGGGTTTTCACTGTGCTGTGCAAATGCCACCTGGTTCCAGACTGTCCGTTTCCCCATCAGACACACCTGTTAGCAGACGTTGGCAGTGCCCCCCCGGGCCTGGGTGGGGTCGGTATTGTCTGTGGTGCAGACAGGAGGCGTCTTTCCGTGTGGCAGCACCCGTGGTGTCCCCAAAAGCCATCGTAGACTCGTGACACGGAGTGGGGAAAGGGACAGTGAGGAACGGGCAGATCTTAAAGTAGCAGTTACTTGTACAAGTTGACGACTTGAGAATTGTTGGAATGTGTCAGTAAGTCCTGAAGGTGGGTGATGATGACACCGGCAGTGCCCTCAGACCTGAAACGAGCTGAAACTCCATTTTAAGGTGGCAGTATCCTGAGCACGCGCTGTTCGGAGACCTACGAGACCAAGACGGCACTCATCAGCCTGTTTGGGATCCCGCTGTGGTACTTCTCCCAGTCGCCCCGCGTTGTGATCCAGGTAAGCGGCAGGGTGGGGGCCCACGGTGCCTGGTGCACTGCCTAGCTGCCACGTCGCCCGTACCGGGGGCCCGAGGTGTGTGTCTTCAGCATTTAGTAAGCCCCACGATGCATGCAGAAGACACTGAGAATAGTGAGCGTACAGCTTTCGGGGGAAAGTTCACATGTTTTCCGAGTGTGAAACATGCTCACGCCCGCTGTCTTCCACTTGGAAGCCCCACGTCCGGTCATGGTTGCATGTGAGTGCGTGTCAGTGACCTCAGATTCGGGGCCTCTGGTACTGGCCTAGCAATAACCTTCCTCGTTGCCAGTGACATGTCCGATATGCACAGCTGCTCGGCTGTCCTTTGGTCCCCAGCACTTGTCCGGCTCACCAGGCAGCTGGACACACACTCATCCTTGTAAGCAGACGCGGACTCTTCCAGAAAGTCAGCAAGGCTCTGAGTAGACACAGGGCAACTTTAGGGTGTGGCCTTAGGCCGCAGCAGTCCCCCCCTTTGCCGTAAGATAGTTCAGAGGTCTGGATATTCTTGACATCCCCTAAAACGTCAGCCTGGTCACAGAATTATACTGATGTGCGCACTGGATCTGGTGGTCAGGATGTAGCACGTGCTTCATGCGTTAGATGTCTGTGAACAAGAGAGTGGGGGCAAGTTCTCCATCGGGAGGACCCCAGGACCCTGGCCGGCAGGGGAGGGTAAGGAGCTGTAGTTGCAGTGGCGCGGGGCGCTAGGTGATCGGCTGCTAAGAAGCAGCAAAAGGTTTTTTAGAAAAAAATTTTTTATATATATATATATATATATAATTTAATTGGGGAACAATGTGATTTCTTCCCAGGACCCATCAGCTCCAAGTCAAGTTGTTGTCCTTCAATCTTAGCTGAGGAGGGCTGCAAGCTCAGTTCCAAGTCCAGTCGCTGTTTTCAATCTATAATAGTTGCCGGGAGGAGCGCAGCCCACCATCCCATGCGGGAGTTGAACTGGCAACCTTGTTGTTAAGAGCACACGCTCTAACCAGCTGAGCCATCCAGCCGCCCGCAACGCAAGGCTTTAAGGAATCTGGAATAGAGACGTAGTGAGCGCCTGCCCCACGGCCATGGCCAGGCACCCGCCCCAGAGCTCAGATCCAGGCCTTTCTGTACAGGCCACAGCCGGAGCTCACTGAGTGGTGCCATGTGGGCGGAAGCTGCTAGAAGCCACCCTCCAGGGCGCCCACAGTGAGGCGACTCAGGAAAGGCACCCTGTAAAGCATCTGCAGCTCCCACTGTTCACAGAGCTCAATCTTCCGGTGGCAAAGGAGGGTCCTTAAGGGGCCCAGACCCCTTTCACAGGGCAGGTGAAAGGGGCAGTTTGGAGCTGAGGGGTGGTAGGTTGGCACCCAGCGTGTCATTCCATCCTCGCCCAGTCCCCCTGCTTTAACCGCACGGCAGCTGGCGTGCTGTGCACCTGCCCTGTCTGCCATCCACGGGCATCTGGTCACTCAGCGTGGCACCCGGCACACAGGTTCCTGTGGGTGTCCCACCGCTTCCTCAGCCAGGCCCCTAGCAGTAGGTGTGGCTGCTCTGCTCTCGGTGTCCTGCGCCTGTGTCATCTTGTACATGTGCCAGTAGGTCTTGGGATGGCACTGGCTGTCGGCTCAGAGGCCGAGCAGAATCAGCCTGCTCGGTGCTGCCAGAGTTTAGGCTCCGGCCCGTGCAGTGTGTAAGCGGGTCAGCGTGTGTGAGAGCGTGGTCCCACACTTCGCAACAGGCTCTGTCACACGTCTGGATGATTGCAGTCTGTTAGGTGAGAAACAGCAGCATCTAGTTGTTTAAGTCTGCATTCTTGTTAGTGTGTAAGGTCGGATGTCTCCTCTCACGTTCAAGGACCATTTAACTTTGGAATGTGTTTGTGTGTCTTGCCCATTTTTCTTTAAGGCTCTGGCTACCCTAACCTTTATAAAGCTCTTCTGCAAGTTGGACACAGTAGCCCTTTGGGGTCTAAGATGCAAACCTCTTTCCCCAGTTTGTCTTTTGGTTTTTTGCTCGTGATGATGTTTTACCATGTAAAAATATTTTTATTTCTATTTCAATATTATCAGTCGTCTTTCTTACTGCTGCTTTTTTTTTTTTTAAGATTTTATTGGGGAGTTGGGGGAGAGGAATAGCGCTGGGGAATCGGGGGAAGGGGGACAGACAAGTTGCTGTTGTTTTGTTCTTCAGTCTAGTTGTAGAGAACGTTGCTTCACTGGCCCAAGTTGGCACCATCATTGCGCTCTTCCCAGGCGAGGCAGATCAGTCGCCGGCTTCT